TTTGTATATAACATTTCCGCTCTTGAGATAGTAAACGCCACTCTGGGCTTCCCCACTAAAAGAGKGTAAATAGAGGTAAGTTATGTATTGTGTATGCATGTTATATACATATTAAGAGGCAAACGAAATAAGGGCGTGTATATATCAACGTTTTTCCAACTTGGACAAAACTTGTTACGACTTAGGTTGGGTTTATCATTTTGAACAATTCATAACTGTCCTTGTTCGCCAGTAATTATTATTGCTGTCTACTGATATGTATTTTTTTACGGCAACGCTGAAGTTGTCTGTATATAGACAATTTGCTAAGGGCACTTTTAAGGACACCTCACCGGTTTGAGGAAGTTGCCTTGGGCGCGTAAAGGCGAAATGGGCAATATTACTTATATTTAATCTACAGACCAAGATAAACTCTAAAATTTTGTCCAAGGTTGACGGTATGTTTAGGCAAGATTCCTTTGCAAATGATAACTACTGGGAAAAATCTCCAGTGCTATCTCACAGTGCTAGAGATTGTTATAGTGTAATTTATAATATTGTTATAATATAGCAAGATTCACTCGAAGCTATTACTCACTCAGTGTTTTCCAAGATATGCAAACATGATGCTGCAGGGTTGTTTTGAGATCCAAGGTCATTTTCTTCTTCTTTGCACTTGCATACATCAACATATTCCTTGCCGTTGCATATCTGCAGAACATGCAGTCGATAACGCAACGTGCCAGTTGTATTTACACTGCAGCTGCAATTATGGTYAACAATTCTTGATATTCCATCGTTGGAGATTTCACATCCTTTACAGTTTGTTGTAATAAGAAGATACACAAACCAGACAACAGATTGAATGACCAAGCTGTTAAGATGAAGTTCCGCCATTGATAGTGTTCCAAAAAAATTAGCGCGTATTCAAAAATGGCTCTTAGTATTGATGGATTTTATTGAAAAGACAAAGCAAGACAAACTCAGAATAGAGGTTTTTGTTGTCAAAATTGAAATACGTGGGCCAAACAACAACGTGCTCGCGCGTAGTTTGAGCACAGGAAGCCCACTCGCGCATTTTAAATCAAGAAAATCATATGACTTCAAAGTTTCGTTTAAAAAAGATTATTTCAAACACTCACAAAGCCAAGGAACTTAAAGTACCATAATTTGATACCGTTTCAAAAATATAAATATCAAATTCCTATTAATTCGTTTCTTCAATTTTTAAACATCCAAACAAAAGTGGTACTGACAGAAAGGACTCTCTTTTCATATTTTTTATCGCTTTTATTTTTTATTTTTTGTTATTTTTGTTATTTTATAAATCTCTGTATTTCTAAAAGATAAA